TGTCTATGAAAATATCCATATTTTCAATATTTTTCTTTAAAATATCAATAACAGTTTTTCAAACTCCTGTCTACTAATTCCAACATCTCAGTCATCTGTGGGTCTTTTTCTACTAGCTAAATTTTCTCATGATAATGGGTCAAATGTTCCTGCTTCTTTGATATCTTATAATTTTTATTATGTATTGTACACGTATAGAAGACTAACAAAGTCAATGTTATTTTCTCCCAGAGAAGGCATACTTTTTCCTAGGCAAAATAGGAAAGGGGTAGATAATTTCAATTCAATCAGGAATTGAGCTAGGTTTGGTTGACTTGCAACTTTAAGCTTAATTCAACTTTGATTTCAAATGTTTCAAGGGAAAGACTTATCCTGTGTTTGTTGCAGGCCTCTCCTAATAGTGTTGCACAGCTGAATAGAAATATAATGCAAACCACAAATGTGAGCCACCTATATAAATTAAAATTTGTTAGTAGTCTCATTGAAAAAAGGTTTTAAAAAATATTGGAAAGTTGTTGTAATAATATATTTAATTCAATATATCTTAAATATTGTCGTCACAATGTATAATCGATATAAAGATTTTTAATGATATGTTTTACTTTGTTTTCTTCTTAATCCATCAAAATCTTGTATATATTTCATACTTATAAAACATCTCAATTTGGACTAACCACATAGCAAAAACCGAAGAGCCACATGCAGCTACTGGATTGAACAGTGCATCTCTATCATGGCTTTGTCTTTTAAGGAAGGTGAAACTTCCAAAAACTCAAATTTTTTTGCCAACTCTCCTCTCCCCACCCAACACTAACGTAGTGCACTGTGGAGGGCTGATTACACGTTTGGTTCTCCTCTAGATTCCAATATGTCACTGTAGCCTACATGACTGATAAATGCCCTTGGATTTCTCTTTCCCACAATAGAACCCCCTTGCTTATAGGCAGGCAAAGCAAACCATTCCAGGGTTAAAAAGAGCACCCACTCTCTACGCACATAAGAAGGATATTTCTCTGTCTGGAATTTGATTCCCCTGGACCTTTCTGTGACATCAGTCTTTGACATATATTTTTTAAAATCACCTTTATTGAAATATAATTGACATCCCATAAATTTACTTTTGAGGTGTATACTTCGGTGTTTTTCATATATATTCTCATTGTATTCACTATCCATCATTCATTGTAAGAGTATTCACTGTACATATCATTCTACATCACTATTATCTAATTCTAGAACATTTTTATCACCCCAAAAAGAAATTCTATACCCATTAACAGTCATTTCTCTTTCCCCTCCTATTGTATGAAGATTCCACATTTTGATTAGCCATTTGTCAGTTGAAGAACCTTTGGGCAGTTTGCACTTTTTGGCTATTATGAATAGTGCTGCTATGAACATTGGTGTGCATGCTTTTATGTGGACATATGTTTTCAATTCTCTTGGGTACATATCTAGGAATAGAATAACTGCATCATATGGTAACTCTATGTTTAATCTTATGAGGACTTGCCAAACAGTTTTCCACAGCAGCTGCACCATTTTACACTCCCACTAGAAATGTATGAGGGTTCCAATTTCTCCACATCTATTATCTTTTTTATTATAGTCATTCTAGTGGGTGTAGTTTTGACTTGTATTTCCCTGTTGACTAATTGAGTTGAACATCTTCACATCCACTTTATTGGCTATGTTTCTATCTTCTGGATATATATATCTATTCAAATTCTTTGCCATTTTTAAAATTGAGTCGTTCTTCTCTTATTGAGTTATAAAAGTTCTTTACATATTCTGATTATGTCTCTTATCAGATACAAGATTTGTAAATGTTTTCTCACAATATGTAGATGGCCCCTTCTTAATAGAGTCCTTTGCAGCACAAAAGTTTATAATTTCGATAAAGTCCAATTTATCTATTTTTTCTTTTGCCTCTGTGTTTTTGGTGTCATTTTAAAGAAAGCATTATCTAATCCAAGGTCACAAAGATTTACTATGTTTTCTTCTATAAATTTCAAAATTTTAGCTCTCATATTAGTTCTCTGATCCATTTTAATTTTTGTGTATAATGTCAGTTTAGAGTCTGACTTCACCTGGATATCCAGTAATCTGAGCACAATTTGTTGAAAAGACTACTCTTTACCACTGAATTACCTTGGCTTCTTTATCAAAAATCGATTGACAGTAAATGTGATGGTTTATTTTTGGATTCTCAATTCTATAGATTAATCTATATGTCTATCCTCATGCTAGTACTCCACTGCCTTGATTACTATTGTTTTGTCATAAATTTTGAAATCAAGAAGTGTGAGTCTTCCACCTTTGTTCTTCTTTTCCAAGATTGTTTTGGCTATTCTGGGTCCCTTGAGATTCCATATGAATAATTTTGATATGAATTTTAGGATTAGCTTGTCAATTTCTGCAAAGGAGGTACGCTGGAATTCTGATTGGGATTATGGTGAATCTGTAGATGATTTTGAGAAGTACCGTCATCTACCAATACTGTCTTCTGATCTATGTACATGAGATATAACTCTATGTATTTGATCTTCTTTAGTTTCTTTTGACAAGGTTTTGTACTTTTCAGAGTGTAAGTTTTGGAGTACAAGTGGTAAATTTATTTGTATTTAATTCTTTTTGATGCTTTTATAAATGAATTTGTTTCCTTAATTTCTCTTTTAGATTGTTCATTACTCGTCATTATTATCCCAGTAGTTTTTCAGTGGATTCTTTAAAATTTTCTATATATACGATCATGTCATCTGCAGAAAGACATAGTTTTATTTCTTCCATATACTCTGGGTACCTTTCTTTTTTTTTTTACTTCTTCCCTAATTGCCCTGGACAGAACCTCCAGTATAATGCTAAATAGAAGTGGTGAGAGCAGACATCCTTGTCTTACTCCTAATCTTAGGGAGAAAGCATCCAGTCTTTCACCATCAACTATGTTATCAGGATGGGGAAGTTATAAAAACCAAACAGAAAGAAGAAACACAAAGAGCAGATTAAAAGAAAGAGGAAGTAAAAACATATTGAAAGGGAGTAGAACAGTGAAATGACTACATTGTATAATCAAGGGGAGGGACTAAAAAATAGAAAAATAAATTTAAAAAGAACTCTGAAATAAATTCATAAGAAATAGATTCTGAAATGCTCTGCCATTAGTTAAGTATGTGCTTTTGGCAAAACATGTAACACTTCTGTGTGCTTTGGTTTTGTCAGTTATTTAGAAACAGGGCATTTATTTTATAAATATAAAGTACCTATTATGTTCTTTTTGTATACATATTTTTATGTAGTCTGTGTGAGGCACTGATGTTCTCAAAAGATAATATACTTTTTTTAAACACTTACTTTACTTTTTTGGCACTATATTTCTATATTCTATAAAATAAATCAAACAAAGCAGTGAAACAAGGAAGGAAATGAGACAGGGAAAAAAGGTAGAAAGTAAAGAGAAGAAAAAGTATAGAAAGGGAAAAGGTAAAAAGTGAAGGAAGATATAGGAGGTAAGGAAAAATTAGGCATAAAGAAAGCAGGGAAAGTAAATAAGGAGAATGAAAGAGGGAAAAAGTTCAAGAAGGACAAAGGAAAGGAAAAAACACAAATAACTGCTGAAGAGCCAGACAGTAGAGAGGGTAGAGGAGGAAAGGAAGTCCCTCAGTTCTCTTTGTTAATGGTGATAGGGTCTTTTAATATGAAACACATTTCACGAAAGTAAAGCAGGACCTTCTTTGGAGACCACTCATTTATGAAGTGAAAGGACAAATATGCCTGAAAGAATTTCTATTTATTAAAAAATTAAATTATTTTCATTCAGAAAGGATTCTATTACAATCCTTCCTCTAGATACTGAGGCAGTCGAAAAATGTGAGCTGTGATCTTGGCTCGATCATTATTTGACTAGAGACAGCTATTCTTTTTGGATCTTTAGTTTCCTAATCTATAAAACAAGGAATTTGGATTAAATAATTCACAAAGCCTCCTTCAGTTCTGACATCATAAGATTTTACTTAGGCTAGCAAAATAAAAACTTATTTAAGGGATGAATACCATAAGCTACTTAAAAAAGTAATATAAGAAAAAGAGCATGTTATATAATTCAAAGGAAAAAAATATCAACTCGGATATTAGAAAAATTTGAGAAAAACAAAATCCCCAGGTCCACTTAAAGTAGCTATTACTCTCTAGGTGATAAATTCATTACAAAAATCAGAATCTTTTCCTAGCAGTAACATTTATTCTAGAACAGTAGGAATTTATTTTTTAAAAGAATGAGATTACATCTGAAAAACAGACCAGCAGGAAGACTAAGACACTTGTTCATCTGTATTTCTGCAACTTTTCTCACTTGGTTTATTTGCAACTGGACTTTTATGTCTGGCAGTAGTGCCAACTTCAGTACGAATGATATATTATTTTTATCATGTTGATTACATATGTTCACCAGTTTAGTTGTCCATATATGCTCGGTGTGGTTTGCAAATACTCAGTGACGAAATCCAGAGCATGGCATTTTCACAGAAAGTGTTTACTGTGAAATTTCTCCTTAGAAGTTTGCTTTTCTTTACAGCTTTGATCCATATGACATCCACAGTCCAACATATCAAATAAGGGCTTATAGTTAAATTAAGAAATTCTTCAATTTGACACAACATGACTACAGTAGGATGTGGTAGTTCTAGTGAGGACCTCATTTTCTTATGTGATTAGAGATTTGGTCAAAGCTAAAGTCTGCTAAAATTTTCCAAACTGTGCTTCTTCAGTTTTACGGTGATTTGGTACTTATATTCTGTTATTCATCAACACTTCACAGAAATACTTGATTTGTCTGAATGAATTTACAAACCCACAACTGAAGAAAATCAGAAAAACCTGGTTTTAAATATCAAAAGATCCCGAATGAAAAGTATTTCTACAGGCCACACTAAGCAAGTTTTATTGATCAGTGTACTTCTTTACAGGATGAAATGGTTGCAAAATTGAACATAAAATAAACTTACTGGTAAATATCCTTCCTGAGGACAGATCTGCCAAGAGGATTGTCAGCCTGGGGAGCCATAGCAACAGAGCCAATCTTCAAAACCATGGTGTCTTCTTTTGCTGCCTGATTGACTATAACAGAAGAAATAGATTTTGAGGTATACAGTGGATCTGTGAGCAACTTCATACATAAGAAGAAATCTTTGAGTAAAAGAATAGACACATTAAAATAAGACCAAAAATTAGGACCAAAAAAATTGTTTAAAATAAAAACATTGGATGCTTTTCTTATTTCTTTTATCTCTCATTAAGTTGTTTTCTGTTATGATTTAAATGATGAAAAAAAAAAACCCCTCCATCCTAACATTAAAACGTATTAAACACATATAAGCAGTACTGAAGCAGTATGTTTATCTCATTTCATAATCTTATACTACTGCACCTTTCTCCCAAGTGATTTTCAGACCCGGGCTTTTTAACACTACGTTGTTGTCTACAAATATATTATAGGATACCACAAAGTCAGTAACAAATTCTCGAAGCCATTTAATTTACATGATTAAGAATTAAATATGCATGTGTGTGTGTGTACACACACACACAATACAGCACCATATTAGCCATAACATCTCAGAAAATCCAAAAGAAATATAATGGCTGCAAAGCTGAAGAAAGAAAAAAAAATACTTTAATATATGAGGGCATTTCAACTTGATATTTTAGGTACTTTTAAATTTTAATAATTACTACCGAGCAATTTTAATAATTGCTCGAGAAACAGTAATTTCACACCTATGTAAAAAGTTCTACCTCCTAACTGAATCTAAAACTAAGGTAAGTAATCCCATAAAACTATAAAAGGTAAAAGGATATATCAATTCTGATTTCTTTTCTTTGTGCTGAATAAAACAGTATTTTACCATATGGTCTGATAAAGTTCAACCATTTTTCTATAAATCACCAGCTAATTCAGTATCTTTTCTAAGGACTATTTGGAATGCATAGGGGTTCTTGATGGCCCCATTAATTTATATTATACTTTATTCTCTCTTTTTCCAACATATTATACTGTAGTACCTGTTTAAATTGTTTAAGAATTATTAACAATATACAACTGTCTGGGTTTTAAAGAACACATATACTAAAACTCATAATTTCTTTCAAGAAACTATCATCTGCCACAAATGGAGCAGAAAAGGACTGGCTGCAAGACCTCAGGAATATCCTGAACAGAACATGCCAATGAAGGCATACAATCCATATTTCCTAAACTGTGGTGCTCAAAGAATGCAAACGCTAAGAGATTACTTCCAGCTGCTTCAGCAGTACATTCGGTATGGTCTGACTTAGATTAGTCTAAGAACAAAAATCAGAATTAAGAAAATCAGAAAAAATAAGAAGAAAGATATTCCGTGAGGAAAAGAAGGAAACAGAATAAGATGTGCATAAAGGGAGTGGCAAGACGGAAGGAGGGTGGAAAAAGGAAGGACAGCAAAAGGAGAAAAAAGCGATGAGCTATCATAATGAATATTAGCATATGGATGTGACAATAAAGACAGTATTTTAAATGTCCACAGCAAAAAGATCAAATAGAAAACTACTTCTCATGCAGCTGCACTATTTTCAAATGACTAGAGGTCTGGCTTGATTATAGGTCCTTATACTATGAACACTGTTTACATTTTACAGATCTTGCATTTTACGCCAACCTTATCAAATAGTTCCATGTGGGTAAAACCTCTGATTAAGCAGCAGGCATCAATTAAATCAATAAATAGTAAGCCTGGAGAATAGACCATAACACAAAAGTGCAATTAGTGTACTTGCTAACTGTTCTTCCAGGCTACAGATACTACCCACCATATGAAAGTCTGAAATGCAATAGAAACACTGCAGTAAATGAGGTACATATGGAAGAAAAATGACGTACTTGGTGTTACATACAAAGCCAGATCCAAGAACAGAATTGTTTCTGCAAGAGCCAAGAGTGTTCTCACTAGATTATACTGACTATGAAGTTATAATAAAAAAAAAAAGCACTTAATACATACAGATCACTTACAAACTAATCAGTTTTATTATAAAAGTATTCAGCTTACCATAATGTATCTTTGAGATATAAGAAAAAATAACAAAAATATGTATTTATACAAGAAAGTGCTTTCAGTCATTTCTTCAGTTACTTTACAGTTGGAAAAACTTTTTTGGTTTATTTCACCTGCATTTAATAGTTGGACCATATGAGGAAATATTCCCTCTAGAAGCATTTTCAACATGAAAATGAATGCCTTCCTTCTTTGCTTTAACTGTATTTTTTAAAATTGAGCCTCATAAGGAACCACTCACTCTAGAAGACTCATGCTAGATCCAAAAAACAGTCCTCTATCCTGAATTAAATATCTTAAGCTGGAACTCAAATACCTATAGATTCAGAATCTTGATAATAATTGAACATAATGCAAACGATATTCAAATCGAAAATTTGAATTTTATTTAATATTTCTTTAAAATATTAGAATGCTAAATATATTTTTATCGACAGAATTTTATACATGAATGATTAAAAACTTTTATATTCAATGTAACATGCAATCTAAGTCTGAAACATTTTATATCTTTTGGGGCAAGAGAGTGTGTATTGAAAATAAAAGGCTATGTCCAACTCTGATATTATGAGCTTGTATAAGTAACCAAAAGCTTAAATAGAGAGCAGAATTTTCATGCAATTGTCAGATAACTGTAAGACTATTGTTTATAACTAAGTTTTCTTAAGTCCAACATGAAATAAAGGTGTTTGGAGACCAACTTTCCTTTAAGACTCTCAATATAAACTCAATATAGTTTAACATCTAAAGTCTCAAGAGTACTTAAACTTGTCACTGGGCAATGTTATACTTTAATAAAGCTGTAACTGTAGTGACAGACCTACACAAAGCTATCAACAAAGAGTTGTATAAGTTTTTGCCATATTTGCAGTTGAAGACAGAAAGAAGGGTCAATAAAGGTGTGACCTAATGATTGTTATGTATCTTAATGGGAAATGTAGTTGCATCTAGTTTATGAATCATCTCTGACCTACGGGCACAAATTGTAGATATTTTTATAATATAGTTTCTGAGAATTATGACATACCATCATTTAGCTCTGCTATCACACTCATTAAGGCATAATTTACACATATACTTTCAGTTTAATTAATCTGATAAAAATATTATTCAAGCAAACTACTTTTTAAAGCCTTTCTAGAGAATAATGAATACTATGCTCTTGACTCCCTAAATCTTACTGGAGTCATTTAAGTAAGCATATTTGTTTCTAATGGAAATGCTGCTGAAATCATGTTTCCCTTATTTAGACACATTATATCTTTTAAAATGTATTAAATGAAAACATTCACTATTTCACATAAAATATACATTTAAAAATTTGTCTACTTTTAAAATGGTTTAAATGCTAAATTTTATATGTATTTTACTGCAATAATTTTTTTATGGGTGAATTATGATCATTTGAATTAAGAATAGCAATGATGAAAGACTGTGTCAAAAAAACATAATGTGCCAAACCTCTGAATTTTTGGTGTGCATTTTTGTATTTGTATTTTATGAATAGGCCCATATTCTGGCAATTTCAGATAGATAACATTTCAGATAAATAGATATAAATATAAGTAAAGGTATATACATGTAGATATAAATATAGATATATACATAGACGCGCGCACGCGCGCGCGCACACACACACACACACACACACATTAATATTTTAAGAGTGTAAAAATCCAGAAATGAAAAGATGTATGCGATACAATGTAAGTCAGACAAAAGGCTTAATACACAAAGAGCTCTAATAATTGATAAGGAAAAGACGAGCAACTCCTCAGAAAAAGAGTATACTTTTCATTAATGAGACCAAGAAGAATGATAAACCTCTGCTAGGATGAGAGTGAGAAAACAGTATAAACTGGTGTAGCCATTTAAGAAGGCAATTTGACATCTCTTAATATTTTAAAGGTACATGCCCTTTGATCTAGTAATCATTTTGCTAGGAATTTATTCCATTTATATACCAAGTCATGAAAAATGCCACTAAAAAGGTGTTTATTGCAAAAAGTGCTTCATATACGCAAAGGACTAAAATTAACCAAAAGTCCACAGAGAATGTGGCACACTATGTTTTCCAAAGATGGCTATAACAATATCCTCCCAACTAATATGCTCATTTTGAATGTTACCTGCTTAGGAGGTACTCAGGCATCTGAATTTTGGAGTAAGACCTTAAAAATCCCACCACAAACTCCACCAAAAAAAGAAAGAAAAAGGCTTTAGAAATAAGATAGTAAAAGGCTAGAAATATTTTTGCAATTACAATCAGTTGAGAATTTTCCTAGTAATAACAGCCGAATGGGAAATACAAAACATCAACAAAACTGTATGATATGTAGTATTAGTTAATGGTTATAAGACAATAAGCCAAAAGCAACAAACAAAACATGTACACACATAAAGGAAATAAAAACCCTTTTTCTCTCTTTTCTCAAATAGCCAAACTCTTATTCCTTCTGACATGTATACAAATTGATAAAGCACAGTACCTGTTTCAATAAATCACTGCTGAGTGTAATAGAAAAATGAAGCCAGAGTTAATCAATGAACCTTTGATGCTGCCTCACTGCAGAGGTACACAGGTGCTACCACTCTTACCGAGAGTAAGCTCCCATTGCTCTTCTTGCTGACTCAAGTATGCCTGCACGTTAACATTGTTCAGTAAACGCCACAAATGCTGCCCTAGTCAAAAGGGCTTCCAAGCAGATTGGTGGTTTCTCAAAGCGCAGAATTCTAAACATAAAATTACCAAATGATCTAGCAATTCTATCCATAGGTATAAACCCCAAAGAACTGAAAAAGGACTTGAACAAACCCTTACATGGCCGTGTTCACAGTAGCATTACTCTCCATAGCTAACCCCAAGGTGGAAGCAAACAAAGTGTCTGAGGTGAATGGATAAGCAAAATCTGGTAGATCCATACAATGGAACATCATCTGGCCATAAAAAGGAATGAGCGATTCACTGTGAAAATATTCCCTTAACAAATACCAAAAACATTCAGAAATTTCAGTACATCAAGTAGATAAAATATTTTAAGACAAACGAGCAAATTTTAAACAAAGATCAAATGCCCACATTAAGAAACAGCTATGTCAGATTCAGGAAGATTCACCAGTATAAACACTATTGGACACCCATTTAACAGTCTTAGCCAGACTGGGTCATCTGGAAAAAGCAATATACTGATACTGTAATTATATTCCAGGACCAATTTCAAAACTTAATGGGCAATGAAGCATATACATTTGGTTGATCTTTTTATTTTTATTTGATCTTTTTTTATTAATATTTTAATATTAAAATATTAATATTTTATGGTGTGGGATTTAAGGTATGAAACCTTAAGTTAAAACAGTATAGGAGATATTAGAGGAAAAAGGACTCACCTTAGGGTTAGTTAACAGGCGATTATTATTTAGAGACCAACTAAGTCATACTCCTGAGGACTCTCCATATTACTATGAAAGCATCGCAATCAGCTATGTTGCTTTACTTCCTGATCGTCTGAGTGAGCTTTCCCTATTTTTTCACAGTGCATTTTCTCTATATTACCTTCCATCTCATCCTATACTTTCACCTCCAATATCACTTTTTCCTTCCTTTCTTTCCTTCCTTTCTTTTTCTTCCCTCTCTCCCTTCCTCCCTCCCTTCTTTCTTTCCTTTCTTTCTTTCTGCCTACAGCACCTGGTCTTCCTAGGTGGTCTCCCATCCAAGTACTAACCAGGCTCAACCCTGCTTAACTTCCAAGATCAAACATCAGGCTTGTTCAGAGTGGCATGGCCATAGACTGGGCGCGAACCCAGGACCTTCTGCATGTAAAGCAGACGTGCTAATCACTACACTATGGAACCATGTCCACTTTTTCTTATTTTCAATGAAATTTTGGCCTTATTAATTGTTTACATTAAAATAAAAATAGAAAATTATGGAATGGAGAACATAAAATATATGCTACGAGAAATTTTCAGAAAACCACACAAGCCGACTAACATATTTATGTTAAATAAAAATTACAGTTAGAAAAATGCATGCTTCTGTACCAACCAGAGAGATATTTATGGAAAATAATATCCTTAATTGTTAAAAAACATTTAGAATTTTTTATGAGATCATGAGACTTCATTCTTATTTTTATCTAGATACAAAATATCTATAATTTCATTTTAATAGTTACAGATAATATGTTTTTGAAATATAATGTACTACCCCAGACTCTTTTCCCAAAATGATAAATTTTCTGTAATAACAGCCAAATTACTCCTGTTTCAATAGTGTTTTCCCCTAATCTCAGCTGGAAAATCAAAAATGGTTTGAAAATCTCAGTAACCTTTGTGCGTGTTCCTATTGTTGTACAGTTATGAGAAAATATCATGACTCTCAAACTGGTTCTCAGAGAACTATATTGTGTAAAAATGTAGGTTACCTTTTTTTACCTAAGTGGATTTAACATAAATTGTATTATCTAAACATTCATTAGATATTCATATAATAAAGGATAACAATAAGGAAAAAGCATAAAGGTCATTGCTTCTGCAATAAATATGCAACCTCTTTTCTGGTTAGTGGTTTGTCTCTCATGTCACTTGTAATTGCTCAAAAAAGACTAACTCTTTATTCTTTACTGCTCATGTGTTTCCACAAACTATTTAAACAGATGAAAACAATGTATAGTGCTGTCAGAATATAGTATATGCAAAGAATACTAATTTCACATCTCAAAGTAATCAGTTTTATGACAGATACTAGTAAAATTAGAATTAAAAAATAGAAACTGGTTTGTATTAAGATTCCATAAGTATGATACACTGAATTTATCTCTAGACATCTTGATAATTAAGAACTACAAAACTCTACAAATATTTTCTTTTATTTACGGAAATGTTAAAGAAAACATTATTTTAAATAAACCTAATTATCAATGTTAGGCAGAATACCATCTCTGATTAAGATCATCTGTCTGTGCGAGACAGAACAAGAGACAGACTAGGCCTTGAAAAAAAGAGAAAGGAACCAGGTGCTTTTCTTTTGTTATTTAACATCCAAGGTCTTCCTCCTAATAACTAAAAAGGAAAAAGAGTTTTGCTGTTTTCATGTGGTAGAAACCACAATCTCTCTCTCAGATACTCACTCTCGTTTCTCTCTCAAATTCACAGGGCCCTACGTAAGGATTGTTCCTCAGCCTCTCTTACAGCAGGGCCATCTAAGTTTTGACCAATGAGGGGTAAGTGGTAATGAAGTGTAGGACCTCCAGAAATACTCTTTTAAAAAAAATGAACAACCTTCTTCTGACAAGACTTCCTTTTATTGAGAGCTTACTATGGAACTGGCGCCATGCATGCAGTTTAATGTAGTCATCATTTGAAAGTAAGCTATCAATAAGGCCTACTATCAAGATAGGTACTCTAATTACCATTTTAAACAAAGGAATTTAGATTAACTTTCCCAAGATTTCACAATAAATAACTGGCAAAGCTGAGATTTGAACTTAAGTCTATGTAACTCTGAAATCCATTACCATTAACCACTGTTATATTTCACTCAAAATTCTTAAGGTTCTTCATTCTTTTATAGTAAGGGGGAAATTAAAATTTAAATGTCACTCTTGTGAATGGAGGCAGTAGAATTATCAATTCATTTTAAAACTTAGAGCAATTTCAGAGGACACTGAGAAATCTAGAAGAAGTCACAAGAGCCTTGGTATGTTGGCTTATTTTTTAAATTAATTTTTAGTTATATTAGGTATACAGAACCCAATATTTGAGTTTAATAAAACAAATGACAGAAAGTATAAGCTTTAGTAGCAAAAGCCCCGAAGAAAACAATCTCATATTTCTTATTCTAGTAACTAATAGTCAAAAACATACCCAGTATTCTGACATAACTCAAAGATTTAGCTGTAGAATGACTATAACATATTTACTCTTTCTAAAACATAACCAACTGCAAATTACAACTAAGGTCTCTAGAAGAAAGTTTTTTAAAATCAGATAAAAAGAATTTCTGAAGACAATACCTTCAATACGTGGTTGCATTTCTTCTGTTTTTGGAACAAAAATTCTGATTACACTTGTGTTGATATAAATCAGAGGTAAATTGCGCGAAGTTAGTGTATGGGTCCTCATAGGCTGACCAGGAGATTTTCTTTTCTCTTTTTGGGTCCTTGGTAATTTTGCTTGAAATATACTTGCAATGGCATTAAGTAAAGGAAAACAAAGGACAATATCAAAAGCTTGTGCTGAAAGAAGAATTTCATGAAGAAAATGAGGAGAACCATCCGTAAAACTTTCAGATAACTTATGAAAACTTCTTCGCTCATTTCTTGATATTAACTTGTGACGGACATTTTTTGTTACCGCTTTTGTATATGTCAAAGAGAGGAATCCATGCTGCTGGTGAGAGCCATCTAGAAGTTTTGCTGTTGTCTGTTTCAGAAAAAGGAAATCACAATACATATTTAAAAAATATATATATATTTGAAAGCATAAAATGATCACAGTTGGTATTATATCCTTTCATTATTTCTACACCTCTTAATGAGCGCATTACTGAACAATTCTGCAGATGGTGCAAAAGCTTCTAAGACAGTATGCCTGAACTGAAAGTTAGCAATTTGAGTTCTAGTTCTAGATCTCAAGAGGTAGTTATAACATCTTTGTGCCTGTTTCTATGATTTATTTCTACATTTTCTGTAACATTCAGAATTTGGAACGGATCATCTCTAGATTTTATCTTTTCATTCTTGATAATTTTTCATTTAGAGTGTAAATATGCTGTCATAATATGGACCACAGGGGAGTTGTTTAGGCAAGTGAAACTGAAATAACTATGTTATCCATTTCTAGTTGTGACAACCTGAATAGAAAAAATTATTGACTTTACTTAACATTTATAAGAACAAGATTTTTCCTTTGATAATTTGGCTAATTTATAGGAAGACAGAGCCCATAAAAAGAGGCTCACTGATATCATGCTTTGATAAGTAAACTAACCATTTAATTCATGTTTACTGGAAATGATAATATGACACAGAAATAAAACATTTGTCTTAAAACTGGCCTATTTTCAGTGGCTATCATATTGTTTACAAAACCTAACAGCTCTTCTATAACTCATATGCCTTAGGCTTAATACTATATTAATACAACATTTGAGAGTAAAAATTATGTCATTTTAACTTCAATATTTCTGACAAAATTTTTCCAATTAACTCTTATATTCAAATTGCACACTATAAGCAAATTATAGTAAAAGCACTTTTAAAGTAAAATGCATACTTTGTATTTCTCAACATGTAAAAAAACAGCTCTTCAAAAAGTTTTCTTAAACCAGTTAATGTACATAAAATCCTATTTTGCAAATTACTCAATATAGAGTTATTTACTTCACATTCCTCACACCTCTCCCCAAGGCCTGATAAATTTTTTTAGTTATAGGGTCTAAAGAGCAATGTTAAAAGAGGAGGTGTAGTAACAAGAAAAGGAAGGAAATATATTCACCAAAACAGGAAAAAAGTGAAAAGTAGCAAAGCAGCAATGTGTCTTAGCCTATGCTATCCCATCACTAGGAACCTCTTTTGCTTCCATTTTCCTCCTCTTGTGTTGTTGCCTATCACCCCATGTCTTGGTGAGAGGAAAAAAGACTATGCAATTCAGCTATTACTGCTCATTTTGTTTTTAATCTGGACTGTACAATGAAAAAAGGTGAGAAAAATTTTACCTTTGTATGTGTTCTTTTTTTAAAGTTAATTTTCTGACCATTAAAAAAAAAAAAAACTTGGAAAGTAGGCATTATGGACGTGCAAAATAATAATTTTTCATATAACTGTCATCCTTCAGAGCACTTTTTATTGTTCCCAACTTTCTCACTGCCTCTTGTCTGATTTCACTTTCCATTTGCTTTCTATACTCGAAACAAAAAGAAACACAGTAAAACAAGAAAAACTGCTACCAATCTTATCACTATGTTGCTGGAAAGCAGGCAACAGTGGACAGAGAAGGGTGGCTGCGCTATGGCTTCCCTGGAAGAGGCCACAACACTGTCTGCCTCTAGGTGTCCACACTGGACACTGGAGAAGGGGGCAGAGTCAACAACTGACCTATATAACCAACATCTGAAACCTGCAAATACTATAAAAGGTGTTTCGATGTATAAATGTTTTGATTTGGAAAAAATATTTTTAAACATAATGAACGTAGGTACTCTTAAAAGGTAAACTCCCACGAGAGAAAGTTTGTTGAACTACTGCATCCCCAACTCTCTTAATATGAGAGAAAAAATGAAAGAATGCATACATAGTAGCTATAGTTGGGATAATGTAAATATTAGTTTTCATACAGTAATAATCAACATTTTATACTATTTAGATGAAAAGTTAGAAAACACTAATAATTAAGGAAGCGTTAACTAAAAAACAGTAAAACTACTAAAGAAAAATTTTAAAGGATAATAATTGTGGTTTGTTTTTTTTTTTTCCATGAATACATGTTACAATTATCAAGAATGTTTCTCATAGAAACTAGTGCACATTCCAGGAGAAGGAAATAAATCTCAACAGAACTTCCACTGGCATAAAAGCCACCTTAAGAGATATCTTTTTCCAGACTAGGCTAGAAAAAAATTCAAAAATCAAATCAGAAAGTAGCATTTGATGTGCAAATACAATATTAAACATTTAGCCTAGGAACACAATACCTGGCTAATTTTTATAACGCTTAAGAGATATGCCTTAAATTCCTTTTAAGTCACAAAAAAGGGGAAAGAAATAGATAAGTAGCTTACACATGCTAAAAAATATTCTAATATTTGTGAGGATTTGATAAATTCTTAAGAGAATCACTATTAATATGGTGGTAATCTGCTCTTAATATTTTAAAATTAAATACATTTTACTGACTTAAAAATATCACTTAAAATAATTATCTTAATGATACATTCAGATATATTGTACCATTAGAAAAAACAAGGCTCCAAACTTCTAAAAGCCACTGGTGTACAGTCTAGTGTTCATTTATTCTCCGGTCAATGACAGACATACAGCCTTGTCCAGATCAAGAGAGCACCGAATAAGGTACTTTGAATTAGCCGTGAAAAGGAAATGACATAAAAATAGGGGGACGGGGGGACAATTTAAGTAAGAATCATAAAAGGAATGACAAAAGCAGTATGGTCAACTCTTGATCATTCAATACATGCATAATTTTAAAAACATATCTAACATCCAACTTTGACTTTTTTTGTGCCATGGTAAAATTAGTTTGTATTCACAAAACCAGAGTGATAAATAGTATATACAAGTAACCCAGAAATAAATCAGATTATAATGGAAAACCAGTCTATGATTTAAAAATTCATTATAGTTCATTTATAAAGTTGATGATATAGAGGAAAATGAAAATCAAGAGTTGACTCTATAGATAGTATAATTCCTTCTCTGGGTTCCTGTTAATGGGAGTGCTGTAGCATAATTTAAAAATGATTTCTTACAGAAGGAAAGAAGCCAGAGCAATTACTGAAAGGGTCCTGCTTGCTGACGGGTCGAACCAACAAGGTGCGTCTGTTCAGCTTGTCAGTACAGGAAAGGAAGACACCTCCACATTGCCCCAGAGACCAACACTCTTCCCCAAGGCTTGAGGTGATGGACAGGAGCAAAGAAGGTGAAAAGACAAAAAGCAATAAAAGCCATAAGCAAAAAATTCTAGATAGTTTTAATTCTGCTCAAGTTTGCATTGGTTTAGGTTTGAGCCACTGCTGGGTATGGTCTCTGTCAGGACCATTTTCTGCAAAAGCATTGTTAATGGAAGTAAACAAAAATTAATTTTAGCGTAAAATTACTACTTTTAGTTTATGATAAAAGACAATCCACATGACTCACTCATGAATGGGAAAAACTTCTAAAAAGTCAACATAATAATATGTTAATGATAAAGTATATTAATAAAAGCATCCCTACCTTTGACCTTTTCAAAAACTTAACTGCTATACAGGAAAATGGTTAAAAAACATAAGAAGCTTAAAGAAATAGCTTTATTTTATAATATAATTTTGAAAGAATAAGTTAAAAAAATTTACTCTTGAGTTCTAATTCTTGTAACCATTAGTCCTATTGTATGAAAGAACAAAGATAAACAGTTTATATTGTCAAAAAATCATAATTACTAAATGAGTCTCACCACAGGTTTTTCTTTGCACTGTAGAAATACTCCTTCAAAATGTCCTGACTGCCAACCTTCCCCTTGCCTGGAAAACATAAGTTCACCTTATCTGTTCTCTTCAAATATTCTGAGTTAAAAAATTGAGCACATATAACTACTTCAAATAGTTTTGATGTAAACAACACCACAATGAACTAAAATGTGGATATGACAATGAAATCAACAGAACAATTTACATTAGCACTACATCCTGGTAGTTCTGCATAGAAGCATTTGTCTTAATGATAAGTTGTATATTTATTTGGTTGGTTATTTATTTCTCTCTCACCCATGAGATTATGAGGTCCATAAAGGCTTGATTTATGTCTATTTTTGTTAAACACTATATACCCACTTCTTAGTATAATGCTTGACATATAATATACACTCAATATTTTGATTAAATAAATGAATGATCTAAATATTTAAAACTTCTACAAACTTAACAATAAAATCATCGATGACCTAGACCATAGACTGTAATATTCACATCATCAAGAAGTTACTTTAGCTATGCTATTCACGCATCAATTGCAAAGACCATTTTGATATAGAGATATAACATTCAAAAGGAACTAAAGAGCTAGTTTTTTCCCATTATGAAAAATCAACTGATTCACTGTTAATACAATAAAAACCATTATCATATGCTTGGTGAGATAATACTATTATAATAGGTCTTACTATATACCTGACAAAATATTTTTTCCTCAAGAAACCAGCAAAGTATTTTGAACTTCACAATTAGGACAAAACTTTTCAGCTGTGGCAGATTTAACAGTTATTGACAATATGATAGATGTGATAAAGAATAAAAATTCAAATGTTTTTAATGTAGAATTAGAAATGTGTTAAATAAAAAAGACTCTTTTTAGGGTATATAATGCATCAATAAAGGCATAGAACTGGCAGATGATGGCTTTTTCTCGCAATGGTCTGCGGATGCCACTGTGGGCAGTGCTAATAATGCCAATGGCTTAGCTGATGCCAGGAGGAAAAAATAAAAATAAAAGCACAGAAACATATGTGCCTCTGCAGGCACTCAAAAAATAATTGTTTAATGAATATTATGAATCCAGAAAAAATAGATTTTAAGGCTGTTACTATGCCAAAACACTATGAAATTAAAAATGTGATATTTAAAAAGTTTAAAAAATCATGTATGAGTTTTATGGTATGTGAATTACATTTCAATTTTTTAAAAAACCTTCTAGGTTAGTATTATAAAGCAAAACAAAACAAAACAAAAACAAAAACAAAAAAACAAAACAAAAAACAAAACCCAAATCATTTGGATTTTTATTTGGAAAAATGACAAAATTTCTATACAGCTTGTGAAAATATCTAAAACTTTACTTTTTGCTACCATTACTTATCATTATAAACAAATTATATTTACATATAATCATACTTTTCATAGAAACTTATTAAGGAAGGAAAATTATGGTTCTAGGAACATCCGCCACATGTATTTTAATCATCCATAGAATAAGAAAAGTCTCTAAAGTTCAAAGGGACATGAGATGTTACTCTATTTAATCTATATTACATTGCTATAGGGTGTGGATGGCAAGGATACAGCAAAAACTACAGCCATTACTGTGTCTCAGAGTTCTTAGCAAATATACAACATATGTAACAAAAGTATGAGATAATTAGTAAAAGCAGCTTACGTCATTTAATACAGCAATGTGGATATTTACGAACAGATTTGCTATTTTATAAAACATTATATTCCACATATGAATGAATGCCAAGTAAAATTAACCTATTTATCTGTTAAGTACCCTCTTTGGGAATAAGTATTTTTTAAAAAATAACTAAACAATATAAACATTAAAATTCTTATATAGACTTTGTTCAAAGGAAATATAGCCTTTCCCACAATCTTTATTCATTATTTACCTGCTTCTATAGTGATCAACATTGAAACTTTCTATTTTACATTTCACTTTGGTATACACGTCCTGGACATCTATGGAAGCACTGAGATCTTCTAGTTCGCTGACCATACAAAGCTCTGCAATAGGAAGCAAACATCATTATCAGTACAGGCCCCACAATCAATGGCACATATATGCTTGACATCTACAGAGGGACTGAGACTTTCTGTTCATTAACCATACAAGATTCTACAAAAACAAGCAAAATTAATATCAATATTGGCCTTACAGTTAAGATAAGATACCTATTTCAAGACAAGAAAGATCTCAGTTAAATGTCTGTAGTGCTGATATCGGTCAACGATCTTTGCAATACTTTTAGCGAAAATGATACATCATATGACCAAGAAATTACTTCATGGGTTTTAGGATGAATTTTAATACAAATAAGACAAGATGCAGATATTACATTCAACATGTTAGTACTGCTAATAGAAACCACCTGAATTAGATCTCAGGCTATTTATTTAACTAGAATGACAATGATAAATAAAACAAAGCCTACTAGTTCTTCTAAAAATAGTGCTTAATATTTATCTTTTCAGCACAGAAGAAAAGTAATCCTGTACCTGTGCCTTTATTTTCAGGATCTGGAGCAAAGAGCTTTATAGTAATTTTGGGGAGCACCCACTGCATCCACAGACTAACACGTCCACTGGATCCACCAATGTTATTTGTAGTTTGTTCCAAGGTAACAGAATCTGAGAATAGTGAATCATCACCTGCTTGTACAGAATCTCCCTGTGTTGAGAAAAAAAAACAAAACAAAACAATACTTTGTAACTTAAAGAAAAATAACTAAAAAAATCAATTTAAAATCTGTAATTATTACATATAACTTTTCCATATCATATATGCTAATCATATAAATGCTTATACTAACACATAATGCTAATATAGACTAATATAAACATATACTAATCAATACATTATAGCATGTTTATTTGTTTAAAATTCGTGCATATATATTTAAACATTAGTTAAGTACTTAAGTTAGCCTGGTAGGTAGTATGATGTATTAGGTTAAGGACTTCAGACATTAGCTATGTGATTTAATCTTTCGAAGTTTGTTTTCTCCTCTATAAAATGGTTATTATAATGATATTTATCTCTTAGAGTTGTTAACATTAAGAACATGAATGTAAAGTGATTACATATAATAAACACTTTATAAATAGTAGTTATTATTATCGCTATCAAGCTGAACCACTATTTAGAAATTGTACACTCACTTTCTTAAGAATTTGGTATCCTATACTTTCCTGCCTTTTGTTATCTTTTGTTATCTTTCTAACTTCAGCACATTTTCTTTTGCCATATATTTTCAAATTTTTAAACTTGTAACCCCTTCTATGCTCAGGAGTTGTGATCAGTAGTCAATAGTCAGAAGAAAACACCTCCTAAAATTTAATGGAAGACAACATAACATAAACAGTATATCATTATCTATGGACTAATGTCTTAGTCCAGCCATCAGCTTGGCATCTAAAAGTAGGGAAGGTAAGTAAAACCTCACACAAAACCAAACCAAAAACCCTGTTCTCATTACCACAGACATGCCATCTATATACCTAAATAGGTATATTCATGAACTTCTACCTTGACCTCAGTTATACAGCATCTTTCAATCAGAAGAAAATTCAATTTCATTGAATCCCCAAAAGGAGACCAAATGGGGAAGATTTTTACAAAACAATTGGCAAGTAAGTGTTCACTGTTCGAATACTTAGGCACCAAGCACAATAAAGCAACAGCATCCTGTGATTTACTGTGACAGAAAATTATAGACTTAAACCTGAATAGTATAGTCATTCCTTGATCTAATTACACTAAGAAAGCAAACAGCTCAATCTGATGTTTTCATATAAATGTTTCTCCAAAATAAGTAGTCCAAAATCTGCTGTAATTGAAATTCCTAAAATTTGAGAAACTATAGAAAAATTTGGGATTTGCGTTAGCTATCTAAAGTTAACACAACATCTAAGAAAAAGTACAGATGAATCCCAGAAAAGCATGCATTTTACAAAGTCAAATTCAATAAAAGACAATATAATGTAACCATTATGCTTTTCTTTCAGGATAGGTTCTTAGAGTAGAAGCATTCATAAATTAATTCTTCCTCAAACAGAAGAATATTATAATTACAAGAATGGAAACTGCTGAGAAAACAGCATCTCAAATCAATGAGACCTTGATTCTTAACGCTAGTAGGTATATTCAGTAGAAATGCTAAGAAAACTGTGGCTTCAAATTTAATCAGTAAGCACTTCTGGGAAAAAGTTTTGCTCTCCTTCCTCATGCAGTTTTAGTTTTCATTTTGGATTTACAACGTTTGGTTTGGTATTGTTAAATATGTTTATACATTAATTTTCTGCTCTATTGCCAATTCTAAAGCAAAAATTGAGCCAGAATTGGAGATGCTGAACTATTTTCCCACACCTCTTTATGCCAAGTTCTAAAATATACAGTTTAATTCTTTCACCATTTTGTTGCAAATTGACCAAAATACTGAGTTTATTTTCCTAGCTGAATTTATCTTTGTTCATCTGGAAGAGCAAACACTTCAGCCCTTCATCCTTGGCTTGCTTCAGAGCTCAGGGATGAATATAGTTTTGGCCACATTGCTATTCTCCCTTATCAAAATAACTCCAGCGTTCTTGTTCAATCACGAAACTTCCCAAAGGGCTAAACACTTCCACCACTGTTTGTACTTAAGTTAACAGTAACAAGTGGCCCGCTGTGGTTTCCACTACCTTGCTCTCACTATTTCAATGTAAGGGTGGGAAAAATGATTAACTGTTTTTAAGCTCAGTACTTAAGTCTCTCACTCATATTTCCTCCTCTACATCACCCAGATGGATATTCAGAAAGCTAGTACTATATTCACTGAAAAGTATGGTGCTCCCTATCAACATGTTAACATAAAAAGAATTACTCATAGTTTAAAGTATAAATCATCCAAGGATCATATAAACAAATACTTCTTTTCTACTTAATACAAACAACTGTTAAGAGTGTACCTTTTAAAATTAGACTCATTCATAGTAAATTCTTTACAGTCGAAACCATTTTAAATAATAGTTTGACTCAGCTCAGCAAGAAAAACAATACTTAAAATAGTAAATGTTTTAATATCTTAATCAACTTTTTAAATTAATACAAGTATTAATTAAAAAATTCAAAACTGCAATTTCAAAGTGGTCCCCAGATATGTGGTCCCCAGATATGTAATTGTTATAAATAAGCACAACAAATGTTAGGTGACCTCAGATTAACAGATTATATTTATACAATAAAACTATTTGGGTTTTTTTAAAAAAAAGTAAGCCAATAATTGAGAAACTAGAGAGATTTTCTGATATGATTATTTAGAAATAGGAAAAGTATTACAAAGAAAATACTTTGTTGATTGGTATGTCAAGACTAAACAGTAACCTTCATTTATTTAATATTCTTTAAAATCTCTGTTCTTTCAATAGCTAATCAATTGATTAGATGATAAGCTAAATGATAACCTAAAAAGATTTCCAAACTTCGCATAAAAGTTTCTCACTAAACGTTAAAGATAAATATTAAGTGAAATAAGTCTATATTCAGTAGAAGATTTAAAATTATCATGAAGCATTCTTAAAACAACAATTGAGTAAAACGTTCAACCTAAATTTACTCTCTAAAGGATTGTCTGGAATAATAATTTGAAGTGCATTACCACATAGGTTAACTGCATTTGAATAACAAAAAGATTTGAAAACAGTTGTGCTATAGAGGTTGATGTCAAACAACTTCTTGGATCAATATTCACTTTTTAAAACTGATATATAATTGACATATAATATATTAGTGTCAGATATACAACATAATGGCTCCATATATGTAATATGGTGATATGCCATCAATAAATCTAGTTAACATCCATCACCAGTTACAAATTACTGTTTTCTTGTGATGAGAACTTTTAAGATCTACTCTCAGCAACTTTCAAATATATAACACAGTATTGTCAACTACAGTCACCATGCTGTACATTACATCCCCATGACTTATTTATAACTGTAAGTTTGTACCTTTTTACCACCTTCATTCATTTTGTACCTACCCCCCATTATTTCCTTTTAATTTAACTGAAAATAAATGCATTTAAAACAACTACTAGACACTAAGAAATGAACTACTTTACATTAGATTTTTTGAGGACTGGGATGCTCAAAGAAATTTTAATTCCTGAATCAATAAAGAATGTAAGTCAAATTTTGCCATGAACCTAAGCTTCCACACAGTGGAGGTTAATCTGGCAATTCATTCTTTAGATTGAGTTGTAAATCAATATTTTAGAATTCATTCAGCATTTCAGGTTTTTATAAAGCTTTAAGATTATTTCTTATATCAATGTTGTGAATGAAGATGGCATATTAAAGACATTATTCATATATACAAGAAAGCAAAAATGAAAAAACACTGAACAATTCGCCTAAAACCACAACTAAGTTGGAAGGATTTAATTTCATCAACACAATATAGGCATCCAAAATAACTGCCCATTCTAGATCACTTTTATGAAAACTACCGAAAATCCAGAGGTTCATAATATCGTTTTGTAATCAGAAGTTTCCAAAGGACTTTCGGTTTATGAATTTACCCTCTAAAAGAAGTATGTGAATGTGCATGTATTTGGGTATGTGTACGTATGTTTGCTTTGCTTACTTGTTGAGAAAGCAAATTATCAAAATGTGTGAGCTTTTAGAGATAGTTTTTATTGCTGGGCTGTCCTGTAAGCATAATGGCATAAAAATTTTAATAAACATAATTGTATAATACTTCATTTTCTGGAACATCTGCTTGAACACAAATTTTTGACAACCTTAACTAGCTGAAATACAATGGGGCATATTTTTTGAGTGTACAGGTAAAGTATTATTTACTTCTGGGTCTATCATAACAATTAGAATAATAACAATTAAAGTGCTCCATGATAACAACTACAATGATAACAATTATATCAAAATTTCTACTCTCCCTTTCATTTATTACAGAATTGCCTCTGGGGAGTAGCAATCCAGTTATAGCCTAAATTTCCCAGGCCACCTTTTGTATTACATGCATATACATAGTCATGCCTAAATCAAAGGACTATCTTAGATCTTTAAAAAAAAAAAAAAAAAAGCTCAAGGGGGAAAAAAATGGCATAGATGATAGAGGCTCTGTTCATCCTTCTGGCAACCAAATCAAAGTCGTGACAGAAACAAGGAGCAAACAGCAAGGAAAAATCACCTGGGATCTAGAGGAACAAGCCCTATAACTAGGGAGAAATCTAAGAAATCACCCTGCAACGGCAGAAGGTAGGACAAGGCGAGGACACGAGGCTGCCCAGTCCCTAGCGGCTGAGTGGGATGGAGGCTGAGACAGTGGCAGCGGCAGAAGCCTCTTAAAGGGGCCACCTCCACAAGGGACTTTCCCACTGATGAACTTACTCGTTCTGAGCACTAGTGCCGATCTGGCTGTGCAAGGGGCACCAGGGACTTACAGTGGGACAGTGAGTTGTTGGAGTGAGGGCTGAGTGAGACACACTCTGTACAGAAGTGTAGGCGGTACCCTATGTTCCTCTGTAGAGCCCTCCCCACCCCCAGTGCTCGGACTCTGTGCAGCCATAGCTGAGACCTCATCAAACTGGATAACAGGGGTCGCTCTGCCCAGAGGATTCCCTGAAACTCCGCCTTCCCCACCTCACAGACCCACTCAAGCCA